CCAGCTAATTTTTGGTATTTTTTATTTTTAGTAGAGACGAGGTTTCACCGTGTTGGCCAGGATGGTCTCATTCTCCTGACCTTGTGATCCGCTCGCCTTGGCCTCCCAAAGTGCTGGGATTACAGGCGTGAGCCACCGCGCCTGGCCATTTATTTATTATATTTTTGAGACAGTCTAGCTCTGTCGCCCAGGTTAGAGTGCAGTGGTGCGCTCTAAACATGCTGCAGCCTCCACCTCCCGGGTTCAAGTGAGTCTCATGCCTTAGTCTCCCGAGTAACTGGGATTACAGGTGCATGCCACCACATCTAGTTAATTTTTTTTTTTTTTTGAGACAGAGTCTCGCTCTTGTTGCCCAGGCTGGAGTGCAATGGCATGATCTCAGCTCATTGCAACCTCTACCTTCTGGGTTCAAGTGATTCTCCTGCCTCAACCTCCCAAATAGCTGAGGTTACAGGTGCCCACCACCACATCTGGCAAATTTTTGTATTTTAGTAGAGACAGGGTTTCACCATGTTGGCCAGGTTGGTCTCGAACTCCTGACCTCATGTGATCTGCCCGCCTCGGCCTCCCAAAGTTCTGGGATTACAGGCGTGAGCCACTGTACCTGGGCTAATTATTTTTATTTTTATTTTTAGTAAAGACAGGGTTTCACTATGTTGGCCAGGTTGGTCTCGAACTCCTGACCTCAGGTGATCCGCCCGTCTCAGCCGCCCAAAGTGCTGGGATTACAGGCATGAGCCACCTCGCCCGGCTGCAGTTTTATTTTTAAAATTGTGGGAAAATACATAACATAAAAGTGACCATTTTAACCGTTTTAAAGTGTATAGTTCAGTGGCATTAAGTGAATTTGCTTTGTTGTCATCCTGTGTTAGTTTTTAACCAGTAACTTCCAATTTTGTGTCTCCCTGTATCAGATTTTTTCTTGCCCCAAATGAGCACATTTAGGGTTGCCTGACTAAACCTGCCTCAAGCCCACACGGTGCAATGCCTGATAGAGATCCTCCAGGGTTCTGCAACTGGAGCTGCTGTTCAGTGCAGTGACGACTGTCTCATATAGACGGGCTTTGTTGGTTGTAAATAATGTGTATGAATTTGGTTTCCCAGTTGAAAACAACAAAAATGGACTCTAGTTGATTTAACAAAAAAGAAACTAAGGAAATGAAATTGGGAAATCCATAGGATCAACAGCAAGGCCAGGAAAGCAGTGAAGGCTACAGCCCAGGCTCACCAGGCGGTCACGTCCAGGGTTGGCCTGTTGCCAAGGCGTGCCCCCGCTCTGAGATGCTACAGGCCACTCTGCCCATGAGGCGGGCACCAGGTTGCAGGCACTGCTGCTGCTGGCCACCTGCCCCACAGTGACTGAACTCTCGGTGCTTCCTCTGCCCAGGTCCCTCTACCTCTCAGAGTGTGGTGGGGGAGGGGAAGCTTTTGACTGGCTGAGCCTGTCACATTCCCACACCTTAGCAGGGTGGGGTGGGAGTTAGAATTATCTGACTATCACCACGTGGAGCGTCTTCCAAATCTAAAAAGAAGTTCAAATTTTGGGCAGCCAAAAACCTGACATATAGCCGTCCAGTCCTGTTTCCTCTGAGCTTTTTCTCCTCTGGACAGACGCCCTGTGTTCCTTCAACTGAAACTCATGGATGAGGCCTCCGGATCCCTTACCACATTGTCATTAATTTTTGGTACCCAGAATTGGAAGTAATCTCACAAGTCTGAGGGACAATGGGATTATTTTTTTTCCAAACCCTGACCGCCCCTCACCTTAACTTTCATGAAGGCATCTGAAGATTTCATTACTTCTCTAGTCAGCCATACTACATAGATGACTCATGTTGGCTCACGGGATGCTTGTGGTCAACTGAAATCCCCAGATCTTTTTAGGAATGGCTGTAAAGCCAGGTCTTCTCAATTATTTACTTATATAATTGGCTCATTGAACATGTGCAAATGTAACCGAGTAACATAAGACCGTATTTGTAATACTTCAACTATTTAGTTCACACCCTTAAATTCTCTCACACTGTAGCGTAGTGTGCTTGGCGACTTCAACCAGAAATTGGAAACTGGTGGTCTATGGGCCAATCTGACCACACATTTATTTTGTTTGGCTAATATGGTGGTTTTTGAGAACTGAATCGGTTGCCAACTGTTGAGCATCAGGAGATGTCATGCAAAAAGCAGCACTTCCAACTTCTCTTGAAAGGTATGAAGATCTAGCAACATTCAGTCATCATCTCCCCAGGGCTGGAGCTGGGCAGCAGCTACTTCCTCTGAAAGGTGCAGACGAAGCTCACTGCAGTCCCAGCTCACTGCAGTCCCCACCAGGCCCTACTGCCTGGGGTTCACCCTGCTTCATTAATTTCATGCCCTGCCCAGTCACTGTGGACATCTGGGTGCATAGTCTGTGTGTCCTGTGGGTGCTGGTTATGGCAGGGGCAAAAGGGGTAAAGTGGAGGCAGAAGAAAGCTGGGAAAGGTGGGCTTCAGTAGCCCTCTCTTGCTCTTGTCTTGGGTTGTGCAAGATAAAGATGTACTGAGGGCAGAGATGTGGTGGTGAGCTTCTGGTACGGGCACCTGTTGTTCTGACTGCCCAGCATAGCAATTCTTCTGGAAATTCTTGCTTCTCCTGTGTGACTACAGAGAGTGCTGCCAGGTTGCAGATGATCCTGCTCCTGTGGCCAAGGCACACGGGTCCAAAGAATGACTACTGGTCCATGCTAGTGATAGGAGTTTTAGAACTTCCAGGAGTGGCTCATGTGGTTGGAAGAAAGGCTTATGGAGCTTTGACCATGTTTTCTGTCACGTGGGTTGGGAAGCAGAGGCAGCTGGTGCAAGAAAGTGAAGGGTCGAGTCATCAACTAGAGACAGGGACAGCAACACACAGTGCAGGCTCTCTATCTGTGTTAATCTGGCCCAGCTCTTAGCCTGGGATCCTATGAGATACCTCTTATTATTAGTGTATATTCTGCTTCCTTTAAAATCTACCTAGAGTTGGTTTCTGTTGCTTGCAACCAAAATCACCCGGGGATGTCATTACAGGCAGTCCTTGCTCTCTGTGAGCCCTCCCAGTGCCTGACGGGTCCCCTCTTTATGCTCCCCCTTGCATGCTGTGTCTACCATCTGCTCTTGGATCAAGTATCCTGGGTCCTCTCAAAAATTCCCCTTATTCCTGAGCAAGAGTAAGCGTGAAAGGTGGCTCATGTGAATATGTTTCCATGCACTGCAAAGTGTGTGCCCTTCCTTCAGCCCTCAAGGGAAGCCAGGCAGCTCTGGGATGCCTTCCATCTCACCCTGTTGTTGGCGCTGATGTAAATCATACAGATGGAAATCCACACTGCTGAGAGACATCCGGGTTAGGAAAGCCACCTGCTGCTATCAGGAGCAAAGTTTCCAGGGACTAGCATCCTGATATAAGCACAGGGTATGTGTAATTGAGATACTAAGATCTGCCTTCAAATCACAAGTAGGTGGGGGTGGGGGGAGAGAAAGGGGGGGGAGAGAGAGAGAGAGAGAGAGGGAGAGAGAGAGAGGCATCCTTTCATTCATTCTCCAAGTATTTATTGAGCACCTACTATATGCTAGGCACTGCCCTAGGCACTAAGGGTATTATAGTGGAAAAGATCTGTAGCTTACAGAGAGCTTACACTGTAATGGCATGTCAGCTTTATGTGTTAGTTCTGGGGATACAAAAATGAAAATTCAGCCCCAATGGCTTTACAAGTATGAATATCACTTTCCTCATTTGTAAAATGAGTTTAAATTAATTATCACAGGTTGGGCATGGTGGCTGGCGCCTGTACTCCCAGCACTTTGTGAGGACGAGGTTGGAGGATCTCTTGAGCCCAGGAGTTTGAGACTAGCCTAGGCAACAAAAGGAGACCCTGAAAATTTAAATTAAAAAAAATTTAAATTTAAAATTCAGCCAGGCGTAGTGGCGCACCTGTAGTTTCAACTATTCAGGAGGCTGAGGTGAGAGGATGGCTTGAGCCCAAGAGTTCGAGGCTGCAGTGAGCCGTGATCGCATCCTGTGCTCTAGCCTGCCTGATAGAACGAGATCCTGTCTAAAGCTATGTAAGTAAATATAAATAAATAAAATAATTATCTCGCAGAGCTATTTAGAGGATTAAATAATATATATAGCACACTTTTGGCCTTTTAGCCTCAACAAATACTACTTTTTTCCAGAATAACAGAAAGATCATACAACTTCACAAACCACAAGGACAGGCTGGCCGGTAGGCGGGCCCTCCACGACTCTTCTGATGTTAGCCGTGGCTGAACCCGCTGTGGAGCGTCCAGCCAGTCCTGGTTTGTGCTGGGCCCCGGACGGGAACTCAGCCGTTCCCGACGGGAACGCAAAGCGGCCACGAGGGGGCAGCGCACGGCAGGGAATCTTCGCCGCCGACCCCAGCCCACCGCCAAACTTCCCTGCTGCTCTCGGTCCTCCTGTACGTACTTCCGTTGCTCTGACGCTCCCAGAAGCCGGGGCGTCGGGAAGGAGAGCGCGAATTTCCCCTCCTCTGCGCCTCCGTAGGAAAAAATTGGAGCAGGGTTCACCAGACTGCGCCGCAGCGGGCGCTGGAGCCCCTCGTACAGCACCGCCAAGGGTGCGGCGCGGGGCAGGGCGCCTGGCGCCAGGGTGCTGGTCGGCGGGCAGCGGCGCCAACCTACGACCCGTGACTCCGGAGAGCCAAGGCTGCACCGGGAGGAGTCGGCGCGGGCCCCGGGGTACCCCCTTCAACTGGAGCGCCTTCCCCTCCTGCCTTGAGGGACATCCCCACACCTACACCCGAACGAAGCTCCGGGGCTGTCACTTCTGCACGCCGCTCGGAAAGGAGTCAGCACTGGGAGCGCTCCGGGGAGTCGTCGGGGAGGATGCCCGGGCGTCAGCCGTGTCCCCAAGCTGCTCGCCGGCGCTGGCGAGGAAGGCAGTCGGGATAACGCCGCCCAAACTTTCCTTCGCAGCAGCGTTGGCAGGAAACGTCCCTCTCTGAGGCTCACGAAAAGCCGAAAAAGACTCGGAAGCTTGGAGGAGGCAGGGCCAAGCCTGCGCAGGAGGGGTTCCCTAGAGCCCTGGCAATGTCCTAGGGGACTAGGCTAATCGCCTGCGTGCGCGGCGTGCGCCCAGGCGAGGGGAGGTCCTGCAGGCGCGGCGCCTCCTTCCCTGCGCCCCGCAGTGACCGTGACCTCCGCGCGCACCCCCGCGCACGTGCTCGCGGCCGAGGAAGAGGAACGGTCCGGCTAAACCCTCTGGAGAACAGCGACTTGCGAGCAGGCCAGGGGCGCATGGAGGTGCCGCGGGGGCGGTGCGGCTCGCCAGCTGCGCGGGGGAGCGCGCACGCCGCGCCCCGGCCTCCCCGGGGACCTGGCCGGCCGCTGCCCGCACTTCCTGCCGCTGGTCTCCCAGGCGCGAGCCACCGCTTACAGCACAGAACCCGTTGAGCTTCGGGCCCGACAGCACCCCCGGCCCCCGCGCGGGGCGGACGCGCGGCGGGACAGGTGTAGCCGGCAGCCGCTGGCGCTGCGCGCAGGACTGGGCGGACTCGGCTGGCAGGGAGTTAGCTCGCTGCGCGCGGAACTCAGGTCCCTGCCACGCAGGCCGGTCGGCGAGCCACTTCACACCGCCACAGCCCTAGCCTCGGGCCACCAGCTGGGGTGAAGAAAGTCACGGCGGAGCCCGGCTTCCCGGTCCTGATGCCGGCTGCCGGTGGCGGACTCCACGCCGGCCCTGGGACCTAGGCAGCCGCGCGAGACCGCTGCGGGCGCCTCCCCCATGCTGCTCGGAGCGTCCTGGCTGTGCGCATCCAAGGCGGCCGCCGCTGCTGCGCAGAGCGAGGGCGACGAGGACAGGCCAGGCGAGCGGCGGCGGCGGCGGGCGGCGGCCACCGCCGCGGGGGCGGGCGAGGACATGGACGAGTCGTCGCTGTTGGACTTGCTGGAGTGCTCCGTGTGCCTGGAGCGCCTGGACACCACGGCCAAGGTGCTGCCATGCCAACACACTTTCTGCCGCCGCTGCCTGGAGAGCATCGTGTGCTCGCGCCACGAGCTGCGCTGCCCCGAGTGCCGCATCCTGGTGGGCTGCGGCGTGGACGAGCTGCCCGCCAACATCTTGCTGGTGCGCCTGCTGGATGGCATCCGTCAGCGGCCCCGCGCGGGCACTAGCCCCGGCGGCAGCCCGCCCGCGCGTCCCGTCCCCGGCCAGAGTGCGGCCCCCACGCTCGCGGGCGGCGGGGGCGGCGCGACAGGCAGCGCCCCGGGTTCCCCAATTTTCCTCTCCGCAGCCGCGGGCAGCGCCACCGGCAGTCTGCGGGAGCTGGCGACCAGCAGGAGCGCACCGGTGGCAAAGGTGGGTATCTGTCTCCGCGGAAGTGGCCACGGCACGTGGGAGTGTGTGGGTGCTTCAGCGTGGGGGCAATGATGAGATGCGGAGGAGACCAAGCGTGGCCCGGTGTTGGCCCACTCCGCTGTTGCTCTTCCTCCAACTTCGCTTGCTCGGTGGCGGCATCCGGTCCCAGGGCACCTCGTCGCTTGTTCACGTGCGTCCTCTGCGGTGTGGGCACGCCTTCCTGTCCCGCCGCTCACCCCCGATTCCTTGGCTGGACTTGTTACCCTGCGTCTTCAACTTAGCATCACCCTTGCATCTCTCTAGAAACGGGGACCTTCTTCCTCTGGATCCCCAGACACTCCCTCTGCACACTCTGGGCCTGCCGGGAGAAAAGTTAGAGCTTAGCGTTTGTGACAGGGCTCTGATGGCTGCATTGGGAAGCCGGCGGGCGTCCTGCCTGCGGTCTGGCTAAGGAGGGGAGGGCAGAAGGCAGAGTGGGACTGGGGTTTGGAAGAATGCTGATCACAAAGTCTTTCTAGTAGTCTGGAAGGAGTTAATCTGGAGGCCCCAGGAGCCTTTTGACCCAGCCCTTTTTGGACTTGGCAGTGTCTGACCAGAAGCCAAGGTCTTCTCCTGGGCTCCCAGGCAGGGTTGCATTCCCACGGGGGTTATTTATTTTTATGATTATTATTTTTGGTACAGCCGCATTTTAGGGCCTTCACTGCTGGTTTTAGACGAAAGACCTTCTCTGGATGGCTTCAGTGATTTGGTTTTAAAAGCGTCTTACAGCTTGTCTTTACACACCCTTGCCACCTTGTGAACTGTCATCAGGGAAGAGGGTATGGAGATGCTGGTTTAAGTGGGAAAAAAAGGACCCGGGTTTTGTTAATTTCTTTGAAAGGAGAAAAGCACTTAGATGTTAAAAAAAAACAAAAACAAAAACACGTCGTCTATTGGAATAATCATTTGCTTTAGAAACACAACTTTATTCCTCTACTTTTGACTATTTAAGGAGTTGGTGATGCCTAGTCCTTCCACTATGTGTAATCCTGAAATGCTGGGAACATTCTAGCACCTGGTTTAGGCAGTACTGCCAATCTCTAAGGTTAAGGTGGGAATTGGACAATGAGATCACTTGGACACAGGAAGGGGAACATCACCCACCCGGGCCTATTTTGGGGAGGGGACGGGGGGAGGGATAGCATTAGGAGATATGCCTAATGTAAATGACAAGTTAATGGGTACGGCACACCAACATGGCACATGTATACGTATGTAACAAACCTGCACGTTGTGCACATGTACCCTAGAACTTAAAGTGTAATAATAAAAAAAAAAGTAAAAAAAAAAGGAACTTAAACTCTTAGATGTTGAGCTTGAGTTAAATGCCATTCTTTGCTGCAATGGGCTTTTTTTCCTATGGATCAGGAATAATGGCGACAGTCAGGGGTAGTCACTGGGGGTCACCTGGGGGCGCTGCCTGCTGAAGGGAAATTTTTTTTCTTTGGTTTTAATTGTGATTAAATCCAGCTAAATGCTTGCGTTAGAAATTTTCAAACTTTTCCTTCCTGGCCTTGTTGCTGTTTTTGTTCTAAGGTATTTATAATTAAATATCTTTATTTGCTAAATAGGCGGGTTACCTTCTTCTGTTCCGATATGTGGTATTTGGAGCCCTGCTTCTGGTAAAACGCTGGGACATTCTGATGACCATCTCTTTACAGATGTCCTCCTAGTTTATCTTGGGGGACTTGTGTTTGACCAGGAGGTTAGGAGCTAACCTCTGAAATGTAACAGGCTGAAGCTTTGATGCCACTCTGGGAATTCTGTGGCATTTGTAGTACCTTTTAGAACTTATCAAAGGGGTTGAAGATTGGAACTTTTTAGTAGTAACATTTAGTAGTAGCAGGAAATTGATGTTTTACTGACCATATTTTGAGACCCTTGGTTGACTTTCCTTATGGATGCATAGTCATGTTCATGACTTCTTGTGTTTGGGATGTTTCTGGATGTTGTTTAATAGACGAGCACTTATTTAACTAATAACCAGGAGTCCTGCGTGCTGTATTCACACTACACTAGCACTGTACTACCATGTTGGGATAATAGCATTAGGTCCAGCACATGCTTCAGGGGTGGGAAGGATTGTAATAGCGTATCGGGCATTGAGCAACCCTATACATTTGGTTGACAAAGATTTCAGCTGAAAATTACTTTAGGTACTTTACTGTCCATTGGAATTGCTTGACTCCTCCCAGGAAAGTTGAATGCTGGATGTTGTTGCATGTTGTTTAATAGAGGGACACTTACTTAACTAATGTGCCATGATAGGTAACCATAAATATGACAGTCCCATCATTTCCCAGTTAGAAGCTCTTCACATCTTCTTTTAGATGTCAATTAGGATATGTATACTTTTTTAGGTAAGAAGGTAAGTATTTGCGTAGCTTATTTTATTAATTTTGTTACAGTTAGACCTTGTGACAACATTATTTTCAAAAAAGTTTTAGTTTCTATTTGGTTTTACTGGCAGGGCACGAAACGGTGTTTTCCTGAACTTTTTACCTGCGTCTTTTTCATCGGCTTTGGTGATCGCCAGAGTACTTGGAGTCCCCTGACGCGGTTAGCAGAACCTCTCAGCTGTGCTTTCACCTGAGCCGTTTGAGATAAAGCACTTTTTTGGAGTCAGTTAACGCTGCTGCCCCAGAAATCGTATACCCAGTGACGAGTACCCATAGCCTTAGATCTGGACTTGTTGGTGTTTTTATATGCCTGTTGGCAAATACTGTATGTGTGTTGCTTCTTTGTTACTTCTTAAAATGACCTTTAAACAGTCCTGTTTTAATGGTACTATCCAACGCTTGCAGTTGCTAATATATGCTAAACTTCTCAGGCCAACTTGTTTGTTTATTATTTTGTTTTCACTATTTTGCAAGAAAATCCCTTTAACATCCCAAGCTAGCATCAATCAAATTGTTTCAGTGCAGTGAGAGTCTTGCTAAAAGGGTTTTGTGGTTCCACATTGACTAATTCAAAGCATGCTTTTTAATGTAAGTGATTTAATAAGGACTCGAATATTAGACAATTCCTTTTTTTTTGAATTTAAAAAAAAATCCTTGACTTATATTTGAGCCTATACAGAACATCTTCTGCAGTTCACCTAGACTGTGCTAGGCACTATTATAGGTGAACAAGACTGGCTTGGGCTTTCTTTTTTTTTTTCTTTTTTTTTTTTGAGATGGAGTCTCGCTCTGTCACCCAGGCTGGAGTGCAGTGGTGCGATCTCCACTCACTGCAAGCTCCGCCTCCATGGTTCATGCCATTCTCCTGCCTCAGCCTCCCGTGTAGCTGGGACTACAGGCGCCCGCCACTGCGCCTGGCTAATTTTTGTGTTTTTAATAGAGACAGAGTTTCATGGTGTTAGCCAGGATGGTCTCGATCTCCTGACCTGGTGATCCGCCCATCTTGGCCTCCTAAAGTGCTGGGATTACAGGAGTGGCTGGTGTCACTCCAGAATTCCGTGAGGGTTATAAGGAGAAGGACATTGCCACAAATTAAAGAACTCTAGAAAGCTTAGGCAGTGCCTTTGATGATATAAAAGTAGGCATTAGAGCCTAATTAGTTTATCTGCATTTTGTGTCTTGAGGTACAGTGGTATATGTTCACATTGGAGCTGTTTGAAAATCTCTTCTGTGTCTCTTTGACAATGTGACTGGGACTTCATGGAAAAAATATTTTAAGTTGGAGAATCATAAAATTATATATGTTAAATATTTTATTTTATAAGCACACACACGTATGATTCTTCCACCATTTTTTGAGTATAGGGCTGAGGACCTTTCTTTCCGTTCCAGATTGCCTTTTTAGCTGAAACCACAGTCACCTTTTATGATTTTCTATTTGTTTCTTTCAAATAGAGTGAAGACTAAGACTTTCAAAGGATTCTGTGTAGAGCATCTTGTAGATTTTAGATAGGACCTCCCCGATAATGTTTGATGTTCTCATTTACACCTGATTTGGCCATTTTATCAGTGTTTGAATCTTTCCTACATGGTCATCTTGATTTCCCAAGGGGCTTTTTTTTTTTTTTTGGCGCTCAAACTTCTTCCCCTGTTACAGACTATTGAATTATGGTACATATTTAGCATTATAAGTACAAGTTGCATTAGCATAGTTGGGAATAAGGACAGCAGATCCCTGATAAGTACAGGCCTCCCCAGGCAGGAGTGGCTGGCCCAGCCTTTGCCAGGCTGTAGTCTCCGGTGGGTGTGGGTGACTTTGGCTGTGTTACAGAGGACGTGAAATGTTGATTAGTCCAGCTGGTCGGCTAGTGGAGGCCAGGATAGAGAGGGTGTCTACGGTATCTGGAAGCTAGTTACCATGTTCTTTGGCTCTCAACAGTGGAACTGCTTATATACCCGAGATTTTCTGTTGAACGTTTACTAAGTGCCTGCTGCATGCTGGGCACTTTGACATGTATCACCTTATGGAAAGTTGACAATAATCCTGCCAAGTGGCTGGTATAATTATTATTTTGAGGCCCAGAGAGATATTTGGGCACGTCAGAGAGCTAGGAAGTGATGAGTTAGGATTCTGTTCCTCTCCCCTTCTGTCCAGTTTGGCTGGATGGTTGGGGTGTTGTCGTGGTTTGGTCTTGGATGTCATAAGGATTCCAGAGGAAAAGACCAGCACTTGGGGGCCTCACAGAAAACCAGACAGCTCACAAGAGAGTAGACAAGTGGTTGATATGACAACTGAGTTACAGCGAAGTCCTTTTCAGAAGGCCCCTGAGTGTGGAAAAAGCAGTTTGTAGCCAGCGAGTGGATAATCTAAATTATTATTCATTGAGCACCCACTGGGACCAGGCGTGGATGAAGCCTCTGCTGTGGGCTAAGGGTTGAGTGGTGTTTAAGTGTGGCTTATCTGGCCCTTACTGCAACTTGGTGAGGTCGCTAGTTACATAGGTAGGGAAATTAAGGCTCCAGAATTTCATTGCTGAGCAGCTCGCAGTTAATAGGGGTGTT